AGTGAAGCCTTTCTCTCTCTCTCTCGCTAGAGTTCGGTTTTGGTTCAAATTAAAATTATTTTTTGTCATATATAATTTATAGGTTTTTTATTATATTCAAAAAAAAGAAAATGTTATTGACGAAAAAATATACGGTTTTGGAAAGTAAATATCGAATAAAACATCTTTTGGAAAGTAAATAACTAATGGTCCTAGATTTAGGGGATTTAAACTACCTTTGGTAGTTTAGACTTTATACCATTTGGTAGAAGATAGAGAAAAAAGTGGATAGAAGGGGTAGAATATGCATTCTGCGTATCGTAGAAGATAGAGTCATTGGTAGAAATAGCATTCTGCAACTGGTAGTACTGAAGCAAAATGGTGGAATTTGCAATCTGCGATATGTAGAACTTGTGCAGTTAGTAGAATACTTCCTCCTATCACTCGTAGAATGATACAAATTCGCAGAACACCTAATCTACTAGTAAATTCGACATGGTAGAAGAAAAAATAAATAATTTTCTGTCATAGTTTTTTTTGGAAAAAAATATAAACATGAATCTATATGCTTTGTACATTACTATTTTCTATATTCCTGATTTTGTAAAATTATAAAAATTATTTTTTTTTGTATTTTCAAATATTAATCAAAAGGTAATATAGGAAAAAGTTGATAAAAAAAAGACAAATGTTATTTTGCAAAACACTAATTGAACGTGAGTCAATTCACCTAAATTCTCTAAAGTAATGGTATATCACGTAAAAAAATCAACAATTACGGTAGTAGCATGAGATCTAAAGCGACTAATCCTTTCGCTAGCGAGGCTTAATAAGGATGATCCCGTTTATATAGATGATTTGCCTTTGCATATGGTACCAATTTCAATATAGTTTTTATGCTAATGAAATTCAACTGATTACTTCTCCTGCAAAAATAGATTTATTTTTTAAGAAAATTAAATGAAGGATTAGGAGTATTGAGGCAGACCACAAAGTTATTGTGACCTAACTTAGCATTTGTTTTGGTTATTGAAAGTTTTTTAGCATTATATATGAGACCTAACTTAGCCCATGTCATACATTCATCTACACCACTACATAATACATTATTTATTTTCTTTGAGTAAAACACTTTTATTTTATTATATTGTTTGATTTTTTTAAGTGATAACCAAATGGGATAACCTGATCATTAATCAGAATTTCTTCTACATTACCAAGTACACATTAATCTAAGGGAAAATATCTAAAAATAACCTATAATTTGATTTTAAATGCAAAAATAGATAATTTATCTCATATTTGACAAAAGTAACCCAATGGAATAAGAAAATTATAATTACACCCCTCATGACCAAAGAAAAAACGGATGCCACAATTACTGTTCTACCTTTCCGAGAAGTCTACTTTGTACTAATTAAAGAAGTCTACTCTGTACTAAAAACATCTACTCTATTAGTAGACTTCAATTGAAGTCTACTTTAGATATTTTGTAGACTTCAATGGAAGTCTACTTACTAATTATATATGAAATTTAAATTTATAAATTAACAAAATTAGTTTCATTAAACATTTGTATTCATGACCAAAGTATAAATAGTTGTGAAGTATAAAAATTAAAATTTCACAAATTAAAGAAACAAAAATAAATTAGGGGTTAAATACCATACTAGTATACTTCAATTGAAGTCTACTTATT